GGGGGGACATAAGTAGTATCGGCTGTGGTCCTCATAAGGATCAATCAAAGAAAAGACAGAGTCTGGGAAGGACCGCAAGCCAAGGTCAGTGGACAAAGTAGGGTAGGCTTAAACTACTGAAAGATAGAGCTGCGTACCTATATCACCTTGGTCATCGGCCCCAGAGGGGAGCTGTAAGCTGGGGTCTATGTGGGATACCGCGCTTTCATTCAGGTTAGGGGACCCAATATCCCTAGCAATACCTATATGTGGAGAGAGGAGTCAGTCTATAGGTGTAAGAAAAAAAAGGGGCGCTACCCACCGTTCGTAGTATCAAGGGCATAATGGAAGCCGTTCAGATCAATGGCTGATTCATCGACAACGGGGTGATGGTCAGGACCAGTGTCTGGAATAGACGCCGCGGTAGCTAAAAGGAAGCACGTCGCATCTAAATTAGTAAGGGGTACATACAGGAGGAGGAGATTAGGGAAGAGAACGGGCACGTACAATCATCAAGTTCATACTCTCCGTCTTGGTCGGACGAGTACGCCATAGGTTCTCCATTGAACGGTAGAGGGGGGATCGAAGCTAATAAGCGATCCCGACGATCGCCAAAGGTTTTGCCTAGAAGAAGGTTAACTGCGATCGATCGGCCTGGGGACTATGTATTACGAATGGATGAGAGGACGAAAAGACATACCTTCGTTAAGACCCTCCGCAACGATTGCCGCGGGGACTGCGTGAATTAGGGTGAAAAGATCAGTTTAAGCGAAGCATGGAAAAGAAGGGTGCTTACTGGGATCGGGCACGCTTTCATGAGGGGAGCCGGTGTCGCCGTAGTCAGAGTCCGGGAAAGAACGAATGGGAGCTAGAGACGAGCGGGGGAAATATCAAACGGATCATCGCCCTCAAACGGGGGGGAGTTTGAATAGAGCCAAAGGAGGTGAACGAATCACCATCTTCATCGAAGGATTGGGTAGGGGAGTAGTAGCTACGAGGGGGATGGGGAGAAGTCATTCTGTTAGATGGGGGGTAAAAAGGGAAGTGGTGATGAGGGATGAGCAAGGGGGAAGCCAAGGACTCGCCTTTTTATAGTGGAGGAGGACCCCATGCGCGGCGACAGGATTCTAAACAGGTGCTGAAGACATCCGACAGATCGGAAAGAGCGAAGGAAAGAAGCGACCCAGCGGCTCATCGGGAGGAGCATCCGTGAACGGGGTACCAAACAAGGCGGGTGTAGTATGAATGGGATCGACATTGGATTAATCTCGCCACCTATATAAATTTTTGGGATAAGGAAAGTCACCAACAGTAAGGGATTAAGACGATGGATGAGAAGACGAGAGGGGCTGGAGAACATAGATTAGGGACTTGCGTGCTAGAACGGTGTAACCGGATTCGAATATCGCTGGACCGAATACAGGGAGGGGCTCGTCAAGAAGTCGGTTAGCTAGGATGAGGGGTCGTAATCGAACATATCGCGCTGACAATTGAACCAGCGGCGGCTGAACGGCCTGAAGAGAACAAACCGAAATAAGGATAAATAAAAATAAAATAAAAGAAGCGGCAGGAGGGAAGTTTTTTTTCAGTCAATAGTAAACAAAGCAGGATATAGAAAATAAGAAAAAAAACATAGCACGCGTACCAAGATAAATGAGCAGCCCATTGTGAGTGCTCCAGATATTCCAGCGGGTCGGAGTTAGAATCCGGATGGTGGGCGTGTCCAAAGGGTATAAAATTGAGAAGAGATCGACAAATTGTTGGGCTAGGCTTTTTGTATGACTTACAAACAAGCAGCTGGGTTTTTTTGAGCGTGATCGGCAACAAGTAGGTACATATTACAGTTTGGGTAAATAACTTCCTCTCGGAATCTCCGGATATAGAAACGTTGTTTGGCAAACCAGTATGGGTATCGGTTAATCTGTACACTCTCAAGCGGCTTGGAGTGCGGTCAAACCTTTCATATATATATAAAAAAAAAAAGAAAGAAAGAAAAGGGGAAATTAATAACAGTAAAAAAATGGAATAAGATAAAATAGGTAAATAAGAAAATAAATAAATACTACATACAATAAAGAAAAGGGGGAGAACAATAGAACATTGGTCCTGCTGTATGACCTTAAACTGCAGCAAGTCCCCATAAAAAAAAAAGACTTTAAAAAGTGAAATTGTTAAGCCCCACCATCATGGAAAAACAGGTTTTAGCAGCCAAGTACAAAACAGTGGACAAAAAGATTAGGCCCATTAACCACCCCATGCCTCAAGACATAAACCCTCCACTCCAAAGGCCACCTTTATCAAGGGACCCTTACAAAACTCCATTGACACCTCATCCCCCTCAATTCATACCAACTGAAAGAATTACACATGAAAGACTAAAAGCAGTAAATATTGGACCCCCAGGGTGGCTTTCTGAAGAGGAATTAAGTCTGCTAAAACATGTAATAGTATTATGACAAAAATCTGTGGCTTTTTGTGAAGAAGAGAGGGGCCTACTACACCATTCTTATGGCCAGCCATACAAGATAACAGTGATAGCGCACGACCCTTGGCAAAAGAGGCCAATACCAATTCCCAAACCTATACTACCAGATTTTATAGAGCTAGTAAGAAAAGAATTAAGACTGGATTGTATGAACAATCTACATCAAGTTATTCCAGCCCGGTGTTTTGTGTAACCAAGACAAATGGGAAGCTTCGAATAGTTCATGATCTTCAAGTACTAAATAAAGTAACAATAAAGGATGCGGGCCTACCCCCCAAGATTGAAGAATTTGTGGATTCATTCTCAGGAAGGGCATGTTATGGATTGGGTGATATCATGGGCGGATATGATGAAAGAGAACTGGACCCAGCATCTAGGCCCCTCACAACTTTTGAAACAGTTTTGGGAAGGCTACAATTGACAAGACTTCCCCAGGGTGCAACAAACTCCGTGGCCGTCTATCAAGCCCAGATGGTTTGGATTCTCCAAGAAGAAATACCAGAGCACGTGGGAATTTTTATTGATGATGGGGGAATAAAGGGGCCAAAATCAACATACAATAATGAAAAATTGAAAGAAAACAAAGAAATCAGGAAATTTGTGTGGGAATATGCTGTAACATTGGAAAGGATCTTATTCAGAATAGAAGAAGCAGGCCTCACCATCTCAGGAGAAAAGTTTGCGTGCTGTGTTCCAGCTCTGGACATAGTAGGGCACGTGGTATCTCAGGCTGGAAGAATAATGTCAACACAGAAAGTCAACAAGATACAAAGCTGGCCAACACCTACAAACAAGAAGGATATCTGTAGCTTTTTGGGTCTGTGTGTATACGTCAGAATGTTTATCAGAAATTTCTCTACAGCAGCTGCACCACTCAGGCGCCTTACTAGGGATGACGTTGAATTTGCCTGTGATCAAACGTGTCAAGAAGCTTTTGAAGGATTAAAGAAGATTGTAGGGGAGGAAATAGTATTAAAAAATTTAGAGTATGGGGAGAAGGCTGGAAGGGTGACATTAGCTGTAGACTCCAGCTGCATTGCTGCGGGCGCGGTGCTCATGCAGGAAGATAAGGACAAGGTGTACAGACCAGTAATTTATGAATCAGTTGGATTTTCAAGGCGGGAATCTGAGTACTCGCAGGCAAAATTAGAGCTGTGTGGGGTAGCGAAGATTTTGAAGAAATTACAAACAATTCTGTGGGGCCAGCATTTTGAATTACAAGTGGACGCCAAGGCACTTATAGAGATGATCAATACGCCAAGCCTCCCAACTGCGCCTATGACAAGATGGGTAGCTTTTATTCAATTATTCTCTTTTGACTTGGTACATAAGCCGGGGAAAACTTTTACGATGCCGGATAGTCTATCAAGGAGAATGCCGGATGACAACAAGGAGTTAAAGGAATTCGATGAGGAGGAAGCATGGGTAACTCCACACCCAGGGTTTGGTGCAAAGGAAATTAATCTTACTACACTGGGAGTGGGGATAGATTCAAACACACACACAAAGTTTTGGAATAAGATGTCAGAATACTTGCAAACGTGGAAAAGGCCTCAGAACTGTGAAGATAAAGAATTTACAAAAATAAAGCGGAGATCAGTGTTGTTTTTCGTGGAGGAGGGTCAGCTTAAAAGAAGGAATATACCCTACAACCAGGTAGTAGTCTCAAACCCCCACATTCAGGCTCAGGTACTCAAGTCTTTGCATGAGGACTTAGGACATAGAGGAGTTTTGGAAACATACAGGAGGATAAAAGAAAGGTTTTGGTGGGAAGGAATGAAAACAATGGTAAAGAAATGGGTGAAGACATGTGAAGCCTGCCAAAAGAGGAATAAAGACTTGCCCAAGGAAGTGGGAAAATCTACAGTAACATCAACTCTATTTCAACGGGTAAGCATGGATGTGGTACATATAAAATCGGGTCAATGGAAGTATATTATAATTGCTAGAGATGATTTTTCCGGATGGGCGGAAACTGTGGGGTTAACAAATCTCCGGTCAAGCTCCATTGCAGAATGGTTTGTATCAGAGTGGGTTTGCAGATATGGGATTCCAAAGGAGGTGACAGTGGACGGAGGAGCAGAATTCAAGAAAGAATTACAAACAGCTATGAAGAAAACTGGGATTAAACTTAGGGTTGTCACACCGTATTACCCAGAAGCACAAGGGATGGTGGAAAGAGGACATAAAGAAATAAAGGATGCGCTTATTAAAATGTGCGGGGAAAATGGGAAAAAGTGGAAGGAGTACCTACCCCTAGTGACTTTGGCAGATAGAATATCAACCAAAAGAACTACAGGATACACCCCTTTTGAGCTTCAATTTGGACAGCCGGCAGTATTACCAGTAGATATGGAATTAAAAGGCTACCTCAGCATGGATTGGACACAAGTGAAAACCACAGCGGAATTGCTAAGTATAAGGGCGGACCAATTGGCGCAGAGGGATGAAAATATTGCACAAGCAGAGGAAAAATTACAAAAGGCTAGAGGGGATTCAGTGAAATATTGGGATCAGAGGCTGGCACATAGGAGACGAGAGCCGCTCAAACCCGGAGATCTAGTATTGGTTTATAACAAGGCATTGGAAAATCAGTGGGGATTGCTATTCAAGAATAGATGGAACGGGCCATATAGGGTGGTGGAACAAATCATGCAGGGACCATATCAGCTTGAAGAGTTGGACGGCACTAAATTGGCCAGACGGTACGCAGAAAATCAAGTCAAGAAGTTTTATCCTCGTGGAGAGTTGTGTCAGCTTGCTACTATTTCAGAGTCAAGCTGACCTGCAATATTTCCATAAATAACTCCAGATAATAAGTAATAGATTTAATAATCAAATAATATTACAAAAAATAAGAATGACATAAAATGTCCTTTACAGAAACTAGTGACATATTAAAAAATAAATCATGACAGGAGACTGTGGCATGAGATGAGCAGATTTCCCCTGTCAAAACTTCTGGGAAATTATAAATCATCCCAGATTCTCAGAGAGGACCGGTGAGGTCAACTTCCCTTTCCCTTTCCAGCTTTGGTTACTGGTACCTAAAGTATAAAAAGAACCAGCAAACAAAGCAGCTAGGAATCATCAGTTTACCAGCTTAGTAATTTTCAGCATCCTTTTCCAGTTTACATCTTTTTCTAAATATCATTCCGCTACCCAGCACACCCCACTCAGAGCACCACATAACCCCTTCAGTTCTGCACTTGAGTGCCAGTGATTTGTCGCTAAGGAATAGCTTTACTTGCTATTCCCCTGTCCATACACACTACTCGGACCAAATACCCTAGTATCACTAGGCCCCGTAAGACTACGCTGCACAAATGAACCGCTGCGACAAGCGTGTTAAAAGCTAGTGACCTCAGGAGGGCACCGTAAACACCCCCGCTACCCGGGCCCCTCCTTTTCCATTTAATTGCACCTTCCTCATCCACTACCAAACCAGCATCATCAGCCGGTGTAGCTAGAAGGCCTATTGCCTTGGCATCACCGAGCCTGACAAGTTGTATGAAGAGGGCGATGAGTCAGAAGGGGAAGATGATGGGGAAGGGAGTGTACAGGGATTAGAAGACGTAAATGAGGATGACTGATTTATAGGCCAGGAATATAGCGCTGCTCAAATTGGGATTTTAGGGGCCAATACAGGAAGTTTGAAGAATAAGTTGGGCATAGGCCAAGCAGATCTCCTGTATAAAATACAATCAAAGTCAACTCAAATGATCAAGGAAGATATAAAGGCACAGGTTTCATGATGAGTTACTATCAGAGGAAGAGCTATGAGTTCAAGGGAACTTTCATGGGGGGCAATAGTTTTTGGGGTACATCTGATGGGATCAGTGATATCTAGGAATTGGTGTGTGAGACTCTTGGTAAATACTGGTCATGGAAGGGTTGCAAGGTTCAATTCTACGGCATAAGAGGGGGCGGAGCTTGTATATTAAATAGGTAATGGTGGTGCATATGTCCAAAATTAGGGTACTACTCCTGGAGTCTGGGAAATTTGATACTTGAAACAGGAATGCTGCGGACAGCATTAAGTTGGGGGAGGATGTAGTATGCCAATTGTGTTTCAAGTATCAAATTGCATAAAGTCACAGTCCAATATGTATAAGAGCATATATTCTTAGGCGTATTATGGCATAATCACATTCTACGGGGCATTTAACCTATAGTCACTC